TGTATGTGTTTGCTATCATTGCTAAAGACGGAATGAGCTACCTCGAGGTAGACCTATGTTTTTGTATTTTCATTTTATTTATTTTATTTTATTTTATTTTATTTTATTTTATTTTATTTTAGGCGCAAGCAAACAAGGGGCAGAGAGAGGGGGAGAGAGAAGTGGGGCTCACCCAAAGTGAGGCTCGAGCTCACCCAGTGTGGGACTCAAACTCACGAACTGTGATATCGTGACCTGAGCTGAAGTCAGGCACTTAACTGAGCCACCCAGATGCCCCCTCCAAGTAGATCTTATTTAAATCTGACAGGTGGAAAATGGAGGTTCAACAACATGAAAAGGTCCTACTTGAGATGATTCAGTTACCACGCTCTTTGGATCTGATTCTCTGACTTCTAAGCCAAAGCTTGATCCACAAGGTCTCCCCGAGATGCAGGCAGATAAGGGACACTCAGCCTGTGCCCCACAGTCCCTAGTGTTTTAAAGGTTAAGCCTTCTCCCGCACGAGCAGCTCTGGGTTGGTGCAGTCAAGACAAAGAATGGACAGAAGGACTCTCCGGAAAGGATATTCATGATGTCTGGTTTATTCCACCAGCAAGCCTTCGTCTTAACAGCCACCAGGTGCTGGCCTGGCTGCTGAGCCCGGCGGCTTCTCGCCAGCACTGAAGCACAAGGCAAGGCTGAATCTGGCCTTCGCCGGCTCCCCTTTCCCACTCCTTGCTGAGGCTCTGCAGGGACACGTGTGGTTGGATAAATCCCCAGCCCCCTGATGCTTTCCCCCATGGAGATCTGCCTGGAATGAGGTTCCCTCCAAAGGCACCAAACACATTAAACAACCATGCAAATGGAGTAAAAATCCCCAGGAGCCCTGGCAGCTGGCCTGGTCTTTAAAGGCTGCCACCAGAACCCAAAATGAATGTTTAAGATCCAGCCAAGTTTTACCACCTGGGTGGATGGACTCTGGCAGCCTCCAGGAGCTCTCCGGAGGAGAAGTGAGGTGGGAGCGCTCTGCCAGGAGAGCCAGGCGTCTGCTTCCATCTGCTGACTGCCTATGCCCACATCCAGGCTCAATGTCACATCCACCGAGCCCTCCCTAAGGGCCAACTGCTGTGCTAATAACATTACGTACATCATTTCCTTTTGTCCCCATGGCACTCTAAGAGTTGGGAGACTGAAATCTACAGACAAGGAAATGTTCATTCAGAGGAGTCAAGGAGCTTGCCAAGATAGAGGAGTGTCCTTTACATCTACACCATGAGCACTTTCTGTTGACTCTGCCTCCTACCTTAGATCTCACTGTTACTTTTTTGAACCCCCTTTTGCCACCTCTGTGGTCCAAGCCACCATCACCTGTCCCTTTGACCAGCATTGTAGCCTTCCACAAGGTCTCTTCGCTCCCCCTCTTGCCTTCTGGCAACACCATCCTCCATTCAACAGCTCGGGTGATAGTTTATTAATTCTTTTAAATGTTCACTTATTACTTAGAGAGACAGTGGGAGAGAGAGGGCGCACAAGGGAGGGGCAGAGAGAGAGGGAGACAGAATACCAAGCAGGCTCTGCCATCAACACAGATGTGGGGCTTGAACCCACAAACCACTGTGATCATGACCTGAGCTGGAATCAAGAGTCGGACGCTTAACTGACTGGGCCACCCAGGCACCCCTGGACTGATACTTTAAAACATGATCATAGCACTTCCCTGGCCAAATACCCTCCAAGGGCTTCTCAAGGCACTTAGGAAAAAAAGTGAGCTTCTCATCCTACAGCCTCTACTTGACCTGCCCTGTGGTACTTTTTCCAAACTCACACTGCCTTCTGTGCCCTGGACATAATGGGGTAAGCTGGGAGAACAGGTGAAGTGTCTTCCTACTATTCAAAGCGTGGTCTTCAGGCCAGCATCGGTGTTACCTGGAGCTTATTAGAAACACAGAGGCTCAGGTCTCTCTCAGACTTACTGACTCAGGATCTGCATTTTAACAAGATCACCAGGAGATTCACACAGTTATCAAAGTGTACTTGGTTAAGAGCGAGGAAGACTTGGGAACCAAACAACTTGGGTTGGAAGCCTGGCCCAACCATTCACCAGCTGGATGACCTCGTGGCCCAAGTGACCAGTTATTTCCTACGTAGTAAAGAATTCACTGTGTCCACAGAGTGATCTGGTCTATGCCCTTGGCTCCTGGGAGGTGATCTCCGGGCTTCTGGAATATCCTGCAGGGGCTGTGTTTGCCTCAGGGCCCTGGCCACTGGACAATGTGATTTATGGGGAGAGCTTTGGGGTCTCCTGGAGGAACTGATGATGAGAGGTATTAGCTGGACCTCTGGGAGGTGCTGGAGGCTGAAGTTCAGCTGTCAGAGAGTGCAAGATGGAGCCCCAGTACAAGTTCTGGACACCAAAGGCTCGGTGAACTCCCCTAATTGGTAACATTCTATGCACAGTGCACACCTGGTGACCAGGAAGAGGCAGCGCCATCCAGGACTCCTTGCGGAGAAAATGACCGGAGGCTCCACATCTGGACCCCTTCTGGACTCTGCCCTGTGTGTCTCCTTCCTGGGCCGATTTTCATTTGTGTCCTTCTGCCACCATGAGACTGTAGTCATAAGTAACACTTTCTGGAGTCCTGTGAGTCATTCTTGTGCATCATTGAAACTGCACGGTCACAGGGACCTGACTTTCTAGCCGGCTGGTCTGAAGTGAGAACAGGGCAGTCTTGTGGGGACCATTCTCGCAGACTTTGCAGTTGGCTCGACTCACTGCAATCCCTTTCTCTGAGCTTCAGTTTCCCCAATGAATAATGGCCACTTTATAAGTTTATTGAAAGACCAAATGAGATAATGAACTCACAGGGGTTTCACGATAAATATAATGTCCCCCACTGTTCAGTCAAGGAAACTGAGCCTCACCAAGGAAAAGCCACTTGCCCACAGTCACGGCCTGAGGCCAGGGCTGGCTGAATTCAACCACAGCGCGATACTGCCTCCTCGTGACTTGCTAATGCTTTCTGGGAAGGGAAGGACAGTAGTGGGGCCCCTGAGCTAGTGGTCCAGCAACATGGTAAGGAACTCATGGGACGTCTGGGGGGTAAGTCCCCCACTCCCATCCTGATGGTCCCCACCATACTTCTCTCTTTTCCCCTTCTGTTCCTCTTTCCCTCTAATCTTTTTACTCTGCTGATCACAGTACATCATTTCTCTTGATCTGTCTGTAAGTTCACTCTTTCCTCCATCATCTCCATTCTGCCTTTGAGCCCATCCAGTGAATATCTGATTTGTCATTCTACTTTGCCGTGTGAAAATTTCCACTTGGTTCTTTTTTCTGTTTCTCTACTAACCTGCAACATTCTCTCCATACCATTCTTTCCAAGAGGATTCACGCCTACTTCTTGGAGCATGGTTGTAAGAACTTCTCTAACGTCTCTGTGTGATCATTCCAATATCTGGGTCATCTTGCAGTGGGTGCCTGCTGATTATATTTCCTCTGACAATTTGCCAGACTTTGCTGGTTCTTTGTGAACCAGGTCATTCTGGAGCGTATCCTGGACATTTTGAATATTATATCATGAGACTCTAGGTCTTGTTTAAATCCTTCTAAATAGGGGCACCTGGGTGGCTCAATTGATTAAACGTCCAACTTCAGCTCAGGTCATGATCTCGTGGTTTGTGAGTTTAAGCCCTGCGTCAGGCTCTGCAGCCTGCGTCCAATCTTCTGTCTCCCTCTCTCTCTGCCCCTACCCTGCTCCCACTCTCTCTCTCAAAAATGAAAATAATAAAAAATTATTTTAAAATAAATAAATAAATAAATCCTTCTAAATATATTGGTTTTTCAGTTGCCATCAGGCAACTGACTAGGTTAGGTTCAGACCACATGTTCTAACCCGCCTTCTATATGCTGTTTTTCCAATGTCAGTTAGTTTTCAAGGTCTTTTCAGTGCTATTCCTATCTGTCCCCAAGGGGCCAGCTCCAGACCCGGGTGGTAGTCTACACTTTGTAGTTCGGTTCTCAAAGTCTCCCATGTACTGCTTAGGGTCATATCCACTCACGAGCAGCTCGGGGTGAGCCCAGGAGTTCATATGTAAGTTCATGGGCTTCCTTCTGGGGCTGCCTTCCTCTCTGCAATCTTCCCCACACTCTGGCCCACAGGGGCCCACTTTCATTACCCTCCGTCCAGAAAGCGGAGGCTTTGGTCTCCATGCTCGGCCGCTCGCTTCCTATGACCGGATCTGGGTCTTGGCTGGAGCCAAGCGCCTACCGCCGGGTCCTCCCACACACTGCCAACCCCAGGGCACTTCAGGGAGCACAAGCCGGTCTGGTTCTATGGCTGAGTTGGCACAGCTTTCGTGTCAATCCCTGGCTCGTGGACACTGTACCAGCTGGCAGGTTTGGGGTGACGATGATTAGGTGAGGGAGCTAGGCTAGGGAGACAGCCATAGGCAGCCGGGCCGAGCCGTTAACCTCAAAAGCGCCAGCATTTCAACTCTTACACACTGGAATTATTCAAATGACAGGCATGATTTTCCAAGGGGCTATTTCTGGGGTGGACAAGGTCACATGCTGATTTGCCTTTACTTCCCATCATAGGAATAATTTGCTACATTTTACACAAGAGAAAGTCCAGACTCAGAGGGGTGGAGTCCTCTGCTTGAAGTCACACAGCTGGCTAACAGTGGGGCCAAGATTCAAGTCCAAGTCTGTATAACTCCAGAGTCCATCCGCTCCTCTATGGCAACATCCGTCATCGTCACCGTCACCATCACATTGGTGTTCATGGAGCATGAACTGTGTACAAGGCACCGTGTAAAGCTTTTTATATGATGTACTGAGGTCGGAAGGGTGTAAGAGGAGGAAACTGAGGTTCGGGAAAGGGACGTCCCTGACCCAAGGTCACATGCACTTGCTACATGGTAAGGGTGTCATGTGAACCAAGCCGTATGTCACCCCGATCCATACTCTGAATGGCTGTGCACCCGTTTCTCTAGGAGGCAGAGCTGCGCCTGGTGCCCAGTCAGTTGGGCAGGGAGAGGAGACAGAGGCTGTGGGGAGGCTGGAGAGGAGGCGTGGCAGAGGTGGGCTGAGGCCAGATGCTGGGGAACATCTGTGGCCCCGAACAAGCCCACAGCATCTCTCCATCTCGAGGGAGTTTCTGGCTCTCGCAGAAAGGCTCTGCCCCTCTCAGACTGGCCTCCTCTCCTGTCCTTGGCTGGAAGCCCTCGGCTTCTCCAATGTCCTGCTTCCCAAACCCCAACACTTTTTCCAGCGGGTCCTCCACTGCCCGATCAGCCCTGAAGTCTTCCCAGGCGCGAAGGTAGCAGCATCGCTCCAGACCTTCTATCTCACCCTCCACCACGCGACCCCGCCCACCTCATCATACCAGCAGATTCAATGAACCAATTTGATGCTAGAGCTGCAGAAAGCCAAGCAATTATGGAAGCAGACCAGGTGCCTTGGAACTCACTCTCGAAGAGAGGCCTGGGAGGCCTCCAAGCAGACAGTGGGGTGAGGAGGGAGGCAGAACACTGTGGGCGAATGCTGCTAACCCAGGCTGTGCAAGAGAATCACCTGGGGAGCCGTGAAACACATACCGCCTTCTCCTTCCCCAAACACAGATGCTCTGGCTCATTCAGTTGCTCTGGCCTGGGGCCTGGGCCTCAGGATTTTTTAAAGTCCCAACATAATATATGTAATTTTTTTTTTCAAAAAAATTTTTTACATTTATTTATTTTTGAGAAACAGAGTGAGACAAAGTGTGACCAGGGGAGGGGCAGAGAGAGAAGGAGACACAGAATCTGAAGCAGGCTCCAGGCTCTGAGCAAGCGGTCAGCACAGAGCCTGATGTGGGGCTTGAACCCACGAACCGTGAGGTCATGACTTGAGCCAAAGTCGGATGCTCAACCGACTGAGCCACCCAGGCACCCCAATATATGTATTTTTTAAGTGTTTATTTTATTTTTGAGAGAGAGATAGAGCACTAGCAGTGGAGGGGCAGACAGAGGGAGACACAGAATCTGAGGCAGGCTCCAGGCTCTGAGCTGTCAGCACAGAGCCAAACGCAGGGCTTGAACCCATGAACCGGAGATCATGACTTGAGCTGAAGTCGGACACTTAATCGACTGACCCACCCAGGCGTCCCTATAAAATAAGTTTTCCTTCCCTTTTTGGGTTTTCCACAGAAACTCTGACTTTAAGTTTATCAAGTGGGTAGAAAATATTATTTATTTGTGTGTACTGCCCTGCTTTCTTTCAGAAAAGCCTTAAGGTGGACCTAGCTATATAAATATGGTGTCTTCTGAGTAATAATAATAAAAGCTATACTGATGGGGCACTTTCTCTGAGCCAAGCACCATTCTATGCCTTTGTGTACATTATTAACCCAGTTCGGACTTGACAATAATCTGATGTAGGAACCATTATCCCCATTTTACAGATGAGGAAGGTGAGGCAAAAAAGAGGTCAAGGCAAGCGCCAAGATCATAGAACGAACCCCTGGGAATCTGGCTCCAGGGCGTGGCCCCTAACCATGACATTTAGGTCCTTCAAGTGACAATGAAAGGGCAGGGACTTTTCTCAGGAAAACAGTCGGCAAGGGGCCAGCCTCAGCATCCACGTACTACTCTGAACCGCCTGCGTTCTGTGGAGCTCCAGCTGCATTTCTTGTTTTTGTTTTTTAAATTGTCATAAAATATGCGCAACATAAAATTTACACTTACACACTTTTAGGTATTCAGTGCAGTGGCATTGAGATGATTCCGATTGTGGCAGAACCACCGCACTATCCGTCTCCAGAAGCTTTTATCTTCCCAAACTAGAATTCCACACCCGCCAACAAATTAGTCCCCATTCTCCTCCCCCACCCAGCCCCGGTTAAACCTCTATTCTATTTTCTGTCTCTATCGATTTGTCTGCTCTAGGCATCTCATATAAATGGAATTATATAGCATTTGACCTTTCATATCTGCCTTATTTCACGTCGCAGGATGCGTTCAAGGTTCATCCGCTTTGTAGCACGTCACCATTGCCCTCCTTTGAAGGCTGGATAACAGTCCACTGAAGGGACAGGTCACATTTTGTTTATCCATGTAGCCATCTATTGACGGACACCTGGGCTGCTTCCACCTTCTAGCTACTGGGAATCATATCGCTATGAGCGTGGATACGCCAATGTCTGTTTTGAGTCCCGTTTTCGATTCTTTTGGGGATATACCCAGAGCGCAATTGCTGGATCACATAGTAATTCTATTTTTAATTTTTTGCAGAGGCACCATCAATCTGCATTTCTATTTTTCCTTCTTTTCTTCCCCCACTTCCAATAATAGCCCACTAACCACAGTGGCCAAATCCACTTTACTTTCCCCGGAAGACCTTTGGGCTGCATGTTTCTCCCCCATGAGTTGAAAAGCCACCCCACACCCCCTTTTTAAACTTCAGCTGCAGAAGTCACCTGATTGAAAACTGCAGAAGAACCCTCATCCCACACAGGAAAGTAACTGCCAAGAAAGCCCCGCCCGCCAGCTAATTACAGGCTTTTACCAGGATTCTCCACAAATGCTCAAAGTGCAGATCAACCTTACTTTGGTTGGGAAGTGTTTGGAAACAAGCTAATAGGTAGGTTTCAGATCTTTAGCCTGGAGGTGACAGCTCTTTCCCCTAGCTGATAAATAAAGCAAGTTACAACATTCTAGATTTGAATTCAGGACAATTCCTCAATTGCCTAGATAGATACTAGTTCAGTCTGTATTTCTTTTATTATTGCAGCCAGGGCCCTTCATGAAAAATGCCATCCCAGCTGGGATTTCCACTCATAGCTATGGTTCTCAACCCTGACTGCATTGCTTTAAACATCTGGGGTGCTTTAAAAATACAGATACACATATACAGAGAGAGAGCTGAGACCCCAGACTCAGTCCAGTTGGTCAGAGTCTCTGGGAGTGGGGTCTGGCCATTGGTAGCACTTTAAAGCTCCCAGTCGATTCTGAAGTACATACAGCCAGAGTTAAGAATCCCTTAGTGAAGAAGGCAGGGAGACCTGAGATTCTTCCTTCTCTAGAAAGAATATTTTCAATGGGCTTTAAGCTGGCAAGAGGTGCCCTTGAGCTAGGAGCCTGAAACCCCAACATTTATAAATTTTTGAAAAATGTTTATTTGAGAGAGAAAGAGAAAACGAGCAGGGGATGGGCAGAAAGAGAGGGAGACACAGAATCAGAAGCAGGCTCCAGGCTCTGAGCTGTCAGCACAGAACCTGACGGGGCCTCGAACTCATGAACTGTGAGATCATGACCTGAGCCCAAGTCAGATACTCAACCAACTGAGCCACCCAGGCACCCCTCAAAAACCCCAACATTTAAACAAGAGAAGCAGGTCTTCCACAAATGGAGAGCACGGGCCTTGTCTGATAACTGTCACCATAAGTGCAGGGGGGTGACTGAGAGATGTATGGGGGTGGGGGCGAGAGAGCTGCCCCAGTTTGAGGCTTCTGCCCTACAGTGTTCACATACGGGACTCAAGGCTTCAAAACACCTCTGAACGGATGTCAAAACTTTCTGTCCTTCTGGGTATTTTTCTGCTGCAAGGTTCTTACCACATTATCTCAAGCTCTGTCACATGCCCCTGACCTCCCCACACCCTCCCTCGCCCCCCACTATGTGTAATCTCTGCTGTTACTGTATTACACCAGGGGACGGCATATAATGCGATTATAAAAAATAAGGAGCTGGGCCCACTAACATTTGCATTGACCTGGAGGGACTGCTCATATTCGTTTGTTAATGAAACAAAAGCAAGTTTCAGAGTAGTGTCCACAGAACAGTCCCAAAATCTCCATGAGAGCAGGAAGAGCAGGGGCTGTTTTGTTCACTGCTATATTCCCAGCCCTCGGAAACAGTGTCTGGGACAGCACACGTGCTCAATACATACTTCCTGAATTAATGAATAACTTCTTTTTTTTAAAGAAATGTTTATTTATTGATTTCGGCAGAGGGGAGGGGCAGAGAGAGAGGGAGAGAGAGAACCCCAAGGAGGCTCTACACTGTCAGCACAGAGCTGGATGCCGGGCTCAAACTCACGAACCCTGAGATCATGACCTGAGCCGTAATCAAGAATCTGACACTAAACCGACTAGCCACCCAGATATACCTAATGAATAACTTCTTAAAGGAGCTGAATTTTCTGTATGTGGATGATGTTTGTGTGAAGAAGGGAGAAAGTGTGAAATGATGCATACCAGGACGCTCAAGGTGGTGACCGGTGACTTAAGGGAGAAGGGACTAGAAGAGGGATGAAGAAGAGAGTAAAACTGCCTTTTAATAATAATTAACAGGGGCACCTGGGTGGCTCAGTGGTTTAAGCGTCCGACCGGCTCAGGTCATGATCTCACGGTCCGTGAGTTCGAGCCCCGCGTCCGGCTCTGTGCTGACAGCTGGAATCCTGGAGCCTGCTTTGGATTCTGTGTCTCCCTCACTCTCTGCCCCTCCCCCGCTCACGCTCTGTCTCTATCAAAAAATAAATAAATGTTAAAAAAAATTTTTTTTATGGGGCGCCTGGGTGGCGCAGTCGGTTAAGCGTCCGACTTCAGCCAGGTCACGATCTCGCGGTCCATGAGTTCGAGCCCCGCATCAGGCTCTGGGCTGATGGCTCAGAGCCTGGAGCCTGTTTCACATTCTGTGTCTCCCTCTCTCTCTGCCCCTCCCCCGTACATGCTCTGTCTCTCTCTGTCCCAAAAATAAATAAACGTTGAAAAAAAAAAATTTTTTTTTTAAAAAATTTTTTTTTAAATAATAATTAACAGTTACTGGAGCACCTGGGCGGCTCAATTGGTTTAGCATCTGACTCTTGATTTCAGCTCAGGTCATGATTTCGAAATCGTGAGTTTGAGCCCCAAGTTGGGCTCTGTGCGGACAAGGTGGCATCTGCTTGGGATTTTCTCTCTCTCTCTCTCTCTATTCCCCTCCCCCATGCACTCTCTCTCAAAATAAATAAATAAACAAAAAATAATAATAGTTAACGGTTACTAAGTGCTTGCTGTGCACTAGACACAGTGTTTAGCAAAGGTTAGGTCTTGTTCTCATTTAACCCACATAACAATCTTTCAAGACGTCCTTGTGTAGTTACACCCATTTTACACCCTAGTAAGCATATAGCTGTTAGAGCAATAAATGCTCAAATTTTAGAAGAGATGATTAAAGACGCAAAAAAAAATAAGAACGTTCTTTAAAAAAAAAAAAAGCTATGGATGACTGAGAACTGAAAATAAATCCAGGTAAAACCTAGAGCTATGTTGTCCAACTGATAGCCATCATATCTTGCTCAAGGCCACAAAGCCAAGGCCCAGGCCCTGGCTCCACAGCCCATGCATTTAAACCCCCTGCTCTTCTGATTCTCTGTCCATTCTCATCTTTTGGTTGTGATGGGCGTGTGCTACTTTTGTCATAAAATCTTAAGTAAAGTAAAATACCCAAGTGTCAGGGCTTTCCTTATGGGCACTCAATGCCCCCTGGGCCCCCTCCTGATCCCCACGTGCAACATTAAGTCCTTTATTTTCAGTAGGGCCTTGGGAATCCATATTCCATGCTTGGATCTTATCTTGGTTCAATAAAGCTCCCACTGCCTGCCCTCTACCATTTAAAGATTCAGGGGAATCACTGTCTTCTGTCTTCACCTGAAACCTTGGGGAGAGTGGGACCTTTGGACAGCAGCCATCGCAGGCTGCAACAGATAGGACTGTCGTGTCTGCTTAGGGCAGGCATCCCCTGAATGGATGCAGACTCTCTGGGTGACAGGCCCTTAGAAAACCCAGAACCAACGTGCCTTGGGGGAGTCCTGGAGCACAGCGCATTTGCAATCTTGGCGATGAGAAGCAATAAGCCCATGCAGAGGAAACCTCACATGCAACGGCTTTTCAGCCACAGCCTTCTTTCTTGGGAGACCTGCAGCTAAGGGTTTTAGACTAGATCTAAACAGATGAAGCTTCCGACTACTCTGGAGCAGGACTCTTCAGTGTGATGCCAGAACCCCAATGCCAGCACTACCTGCGCGTTTGGGAAAGGCAGACCCCTTCATCTTTGGAGTGAGGAAGACTAGAGCCTGAATCTTGATTCTACCAGTCTGACGCTGGGTGGCTCGCTCAGGTTTTAAGCCTTGGTCTCGGTCCCCAGCCCTGTAAGTCTACAGGGATGATACTGACTTGACAGGGGGAATCATGATGAGTATTAGCGATAATATAAGTGAAGCCCCTCCTATGACGAGGACACAGGAGATAAAAACCATTACTTCTATTGGTTCTATGCTGCGGTAGCCAGCTTCCAAAATGGCTCCCAATGATCCCTAACTCCCAGTATTCACACCCTCCTGTAATCCCCTTCCCCTAGAAGGTGAGCTGGACCCACTGGGTCGCTTTTAGTGAACAGAATACGGCAAAAGTGACGGGACATCATTTCTAAGGTTAGGTTAACAATAAGACTCTGGCTTCCATCTTGCTCCCTCACGTGCCTGCTCTGATGGAAGCCATCTGTCATGCTGTGAGTTACCCCATGGAGAAGCCCACGTGATGAGAAACACAAGAAGGTCACTGGCTGACATCCAGGAAGGAACTGAAGCCTCCAATCCCATGCATCTCCACTGCAAGAAACGGAATCCTGCCAACTGTTGACTATGTGCATAAGCTTAAAAACAGATCCTCCCCCAGATGAGCATTAAGATGAGACTGCAGCCCCAGCCAACACCTTGAGTGCAGTCTTGTGAGATAATCTCATCCAGGAGCACTGAGCAACGCTATGCCTGGGTTCCTGAGCCATAGGAACTATGAGCTTAATAAATGTTCACTGTTTTAAGTCACTAAATTTGTTTTGCAGCAATAGATAACTAATACACCCTGAAAACAACCAATTAAATTCAACCAGAGTGGCACATGGAGCCTCTACTTAAACACCATGTCCTCTGGGAAGGCTTTCAAAATCCTCCTGAGTTAGGTGACCCCATTTCCTCATGTTTCCCTATTAGACTATAAGCTACTGGAATGATCATGCCACCAAAACTAACATAGTGAGCACTCATTACTATTTCCAGGTTGTAAGTCCCTTAGTCTTCACGACAAACCTATCAAGCAAGTACTATTATTGCCCATTTCATAGGTGAAGAAACTGAGGCTCAGAGGGGCCAAGCTACTTGCCCAAGTCTTCAGTAATTATGTGGAAGCGCCAGGAAACCTGGCTCCAAAGTTTACATTTGTAATAATCATGCTGTACAGTTTTATGGATCTTGCCCAAGTTCGCAAGTGGTAAATGAATTCAAACCCAGGTAGCTGAATACCAGACATGAAGTTCTTAAAGACTGTCCTCTCTACATACCTTCTGTTTTTAGGACAATAAGTGGAATAGCCTCACCTGGAGATCATCAGGATCTGGAACACAACGTACCTGTAAACACTAAGCTGGCATTTTCCAGTTCTTCTTGGGGAACTTTGAAGCTAAAGGATTCATTGTAGAAAGGATCAATTGTTCCTCTTAAGAAGGATGTCTTCTTTGTTTTCACAAGCTTGAGTCCATGCACCAGCTGGATTTTCACAAACGGGTCTGGGAATCGGACACAGCATTATAGAATGTTGGAGCTCATGAAACTCAATCCATCCATCCAACTTGCCATCTATCTGATAACCCAACCACCTACCCATCCTTTTGTCACTCTTTATCCCCATCAATCCATTTATCTTTCCATCCATCAGTCCAGGTATCCACCCCTCCTTTTGTTCATCCATCTTCCCATCCATCCGTCCATTATCCATTCCTCTCTCTTCCCCATCCAGCTGCTTATCTGCTCATCCTCTTCTCTCTTCCTCCAGCCATCCAAGATTTATTGAGCTCCTTCCATGTGTCAAGCATTGTATGCATTTAACAGATGAAGAAACTGAAGACTCAAGATAGGAAATGATCTACTTAAGATCAGACTAGTGGGAGAAGAGTCAGACCCAGAGCCTGCCCTCATTTTTCTGCCCCAAGAAACCCATTACCTTGTCAGTGAGCCCATAACACATACGTAGGAGTATCAGAATAGTGACTATCATTCTTAGATCACTTTCTAGTTTACAAAGAGATTTGCGTACCTTATCTAATATTTGTTGAAACAATCCAGTGAGATGGGTACTATTATTATCTCAATTTTTCAGATGGAGAAATTGAGGCTTATGGAGGTTAAATAACCTCTTCAAGGTCACATCATTTGTAAGCAGTAGAATTAGGACTTGGTTCAGGCAGTTTGACTTTGGAACACTTAATCATTTTATCATACTGACTTTCCCATGGTGATGAGTCTGAAACTCTCCAGCCTTAATACCATCCCCTCCAATGGCCCCTTCAAAACCTCTATTTTTATAATGTGGTTTTTGAGAATGCAAGTTGTCTTCTAAATGCAGCTGTCACCTTATAGCAAAAGTGATTTATTTTAGCTACTGTACTTAGAGGAGACAGTAGTTCCTCCACTGAGCTGAAGAGGTCCCAGAGACCCTGGCTACTTTCATGATAATATCCTTTGCTGTCAAGGGAGAAGCTACATACAGATGGAATGGAATCTGTTCCATTTCATTAAAAGTCATGCTTGAATTGGTTTGCTATACAGTCAGACACTTTAAATACAACAGTCTTTTCAGAGCTCGGATTTATTTTTTTTTTTTTTAATTTTTTTTTCAACATTTATTTATTTTTGGGACAGAGAGAGACAGAGCATGAACGGGGGAGGGGCAGAGAGAGAGGGAGACACAGAATCGGAAACAGGCTCCAGGCTCTGAGCCATCAGCCCAGAGCCCGACGCGGGGCTCGAACTCACGGACCGCGAGATCGTGACCTGGCTGAAGTCGGACGCTTAACCGACTGTGCCACCCAGGCGCCCCCAGAGCTCAGATTTAAAAAGATTCACGGTCTACTTGAAATGAGCTAGGGAAAAAAAACCTCAGGGTGTACCCCACACGCCCAGAGACCAGAAGGTGTGGTCAGTGCACACTACTGCCACCTGGAGCATAGCATCTGCATTGCAGGCATAGCATCTGGATAGGCAAGTAACTTCCTTGGGGCTGCGTGTATACAAAGAGCATGCAGAGGTCAGTAGTTATCACACGTGGTCTCAGTCAAATCCCCAGTTCAAATGGGTTACTGAGATGGCATCATTTACCTGCCTCATCCTAAGAAACATCTGATTCTTTATTCTTCCTCTTGGTCTAACATCCTAGTTCTAAAAGCTATTTGTTTACCCTCACAGGGTCTTCTTAATAGTCTCAGGAATGCAGGAAAAAAAAATCAAGTCCCCATGTCAAACAAACAAAGGTGCTATGTTAAGGAAAGGGGGAAGGAAGGGTCGCACTGTACCTGAACCTTGGCTCACATCTGTCTGAAGAAGTTGCTTGGCTCGAATGACGTCAACGTTCAGTCTCCCAGCACTTGGGAGATAATTCAGCGACAGAAGCAGCTCCCCCAGCTCTACCTCATTCTGCAGAGAAAAGAAATGGTTGGGAAGTTGCTTTTTTCTTGTATTCCTTTTTGTACCTAGCTTGCAGGAAAGTGATTCCAGCAGCTTATGAATGGGCTTCCGTGGGTGGATCGTTTGACACTGGGTGCCTCTTTCTTGGGCTTCTCTTAGCCTCTGCCCTCAATCATCCCACCTATCTCAGAAAGTTCTTTCTTTTCTTAAAATACTTAGCAGTAGTAACAACAAAGCACTGATAATGATAATAAATACATGCTACATATCAAGTACCGTGCTAAGCATTTTCTGTGGAATAAGTAGTTCAATCTTCACAACGAGTCTGTAACATGTTACTATTAACTCTCATTTAATAGATGAGGAAACTGAGGAACAGGATAGTGAAATCCCACGTTCAAGGCCACACAGCTAGAAAATGGCAGCACTGGTGTTTGGACCCAGGGAGGCTGATTCCAGACACTCTGACCACTGTGCTTTTCTTCCTCCCAACAGAAGTGGGAGCACCTATGTGGGCAAGAAATCTGTTCTCAACCTGGGGTCCACAACAGAGCCCTGGCTTCTAGCCTCACTATGGCAACACTCAGCCAGTAACATCCCTTGTTAAAAAATACCCATTCCGGGGCACCTGGGTGGCTCAGTCAGTTGTGCGACCGACTTCAGCTCAGGTCATGATCTCGCAGTCCGTGAGTTCAAGCCCCGCGTCGGGCTCTGTGCTGACAGCTCAGAGCCTGGAGCTTGTTTCAGATTCTGTGTCTCCCTCTCTCTCTGACCCTCCCTCATTCATGCTCTGTGTCTCTCTGTCTCAAAAATAAATAAATGTTAAAAAAAACATTTTTTTTAAATACCCACTCCTTTGATGTCAACACTACCATGCTTGTGAGAAATTCACCCAGAGC